GATGATAGATAGATAGATAGATAGATAGATAGATAGATAGATAGATAGATAGGATAGAGATAATAGGTAGATAGATGATAGATAGGTAGATTAGATGGATGGATAGATATAGATAATAGGAAGGTAGGTAGATAGGTAGATACTGATACAGACAGGCAGAGATAATAATTAGGTAGATTGGAGGTAGATCTATCTATAGATAGATGATAGGTAGGTAGGTAGATGATAGATACTGATACAGAGATACACAGATAGACAGACAGACATAGACAAATAATATAGAGATGAATAGATAGGAATATATAGACAGAGGTAGGTAGGTAAATAGGTAGACCACAGGATGGATGGATAGCTAGATAGGTAGATCAGATAGACAAATGGGCAGATAGATGGTTTTTAACACTGTAAGCTGCCCAGAATCGCCTCCTGGCGAGATGGACAGCAAGCAAACAAATGTATGTAAATAATTCTTAGTGCAATGCCTGCCGTCCCTCCTTCTCAAGCCCGTTTCCTGCGATTAAAGCCTTGCCTTCCACTCCCCCACTGGGACACGTATCCCAGGAGACTGAATAGAAGCCTTACGCAGTGCGAGGTGCTGTTGTTATATGTTTGCACAAGAGAAGACTCAACTGCTGGGATTACCTCCCTTGGCAACCAGCATCAGGGAATAATAGCTTGAGCTGTTTTCCACCTCGGTTGACTCTAGGAACCTCATAATTTACTTGATTGGCGCTGGCCAATTAATTTAAAGAGAGAACAACCGTAGTGGGGAAGAGGCAGTTTTGAGCTTGGTTGCTTTCTTGCAGTGGTGTCATTATCCAACTAGGTCACATCATCAGGAAAAGAGGAGGAGGAGGAGGACTGAGGGGTCCTTGGTGCTCTCTGAGCTGGGTGGTTTTCTTGCAGACGTTTCATGACCCAACTAGGCAACATCATCAGAAGTAGAAGGGAGGAGGAGGAGGAGGAGGACGACTGGAGGTCCTTGGTGATCTCTGAGCTTGGTGGTTTTCTTGCAGACATTGTCAGCGTTCCGAGCAATGTACCAACTGAAAGCAGAACTCCGAAGCGAGCAGATTCCTCAAAGAACATGTTTATTGAGCGCATCATATTGGCACAGCTAGTGGAAGCCAACTCTGAACATTTTCCCAGGTTTGTCGCATAATTAAAAGAACAATTGTTCCCCCCCCGCCCCCCCAAAAGGCACAGGTCACATTGTCCAATTAAGGTGTTTGGCGGGTTCCTTTGGTCATTCCTCTTCTCCTCCAACTGCTACCTGGGGTGGGGTGGGAGATGACCTTGGTTCCCAGGAGAAAGCTTTTTGTTGTGACTACCAGCCAGGCTATCTACTACTGGCCAGATAGTTGTTTTCAAATAACCAAAGAACTTTTGTAGCAAGAATTTGTTCACAAATAATAGATGCTAGTCACCGATCCATAACTGGGGCTGCTGCTCCAAATGGAGTCTCTTGCACTAGGCAGGGTGTTGATCTCTAAAGACCCTTATATTCTTTGAAAGGAAACCACCATTTTCTCTAAGCTCAAAGCTAAGGTTTGCCAACCTGAGCAGCTTTAAGATGGGTGGACTTCAACTCCCAGAATTCCCCAGCCTGCCCTGAACCCTACCCAAGGCCACCTGGGAGTTGTAGTCTCAATACATAAATCATTAAAAGACTAATGGGGAATTTAAAAATTACTGGTAGTCCTCGACTTACAGGTTCATTTAACGACCGCTCAAAGTGACAATGGCACTGAAAAATGCGACAGGACTGTTTTTCACACTTATGACCGTTACAGCTTTCCCCATGGTCATAGAGTCAAAATTCAGATGCTTGGCAAGTGGTTTGTATTTACGACCATTCCAGAGGTTACCTTTTGCGACCTTCTGACCAGCAAAGTTAAGAGGGAAGCCGGGTTCACTTAACAACCGGGTGACTAACTAATCGACTGCCGCGATTCACTTAACAACTGTGGCAGGAAAGGGCGTAAAATGGGGCAAAACTCACTTAAACGTCCCACTTAACAGAAATTTTGGGCTCTGCTGTAAGTTGAGGACTATGTCAACTCATAAAATATTCCTCTGGTCTTTTTAGAGTGGCCAACAGAAAGGGAGGGGGGAGCAGTGCGGCAGCTTGCAAACCAAAAGTGCATTCCATAAATGTTTTTTTCAAAGATAGTAACTAGGTGACCGAAGTTTCTGCTGCACAAAATTCTAACTGGAGAACATGATTGATGACTCTGGGCTATGGAGGTGTCCCATTGGAGAATATGGATTACGATACGCCCAGAGGGGTGGAGGGGAAAACCAGGGTCAAGGGTGACAGTGAATTACGTGTCTCAGAGTCGGCTGCACCCAGGCAGTGCCGGACATGTTAACTCCCAATAAATATTTTTGAAGTTTTAGAAGTTTGGCTCGAGACTCGGGATTTAAATGGGGGTCATTGCCGGAATCCTGACAGACTACCTGTATTCTACATGGCTGACCAGCACATGAACCTTTTATCGGTCAAGCTATTCTCCAAAGCCCCTTCCAATGGATGGAAACTGATCAAGGAGAGAAGCAACCTGGAACCAAGGAAAAATTTCCTGACAGTGAGAACAATTAACCAGTGAAACAGCTGGCCACCAGAAGTTGTGAATTCTCAAACACTGGAAGTTTTTAAGAAGAGATTGGACAACCATTTGTCTGAAGTGGTGGAGGGCCATGATGGCAAAGCTATGGCAGGCGTGCCAGAGGTGGGACGCAGAGCCCTTTGTGGGCATGCAAGCTGTTGCCTCAGCTCGGCTCCGCCAAGCATGCACGTATGCCTGCTGCTGGCCAGCTGGTCTTTGGGTCTCTGCCACACATGTGCGAGGTGCATGTGGAGGGGGGCGGATGCACAGGAGCACACGCACATGCGTGGCAGACATGCACGCATTTTGTGTGTGTGTGTGTGTGTGTGTGTGTGCTCTTTGGACACGGTGTCGAAAAAATTAGCCATCACTGGTTTAGGGTTTCCTGCCTAATCAGGGGTTGGACTAGAAGACCTCTTAAGGTCCCTTCCCATTCATTTTATTCTATTCTATTCTGTTTTGTTCTATATTCTATTCTATTCTATATTTGATTCTATTCTATTCTGGTCTGTTCCAGTCTGCATTCTCTTCTCTATTCTAGTCTATTATTATAAATTCTGTTCTATTCTAGTCGTCTAGTCTATTCCATTCCACTTCATACCTTTCTGATACTATACTAATATTATACTATTACTATAATATACTATTACTATTATACTATTACTGTTACTATAATGTTACTATACTATACAATTACTATACTATTACTATTATACTGTTACTATACTATACAATTACTATACTATTACTATTATACTGTTACTATACTATTACTATACTCTAGTCTAGTTTAATCTAGTCTTTCCTTGCTGCTTCCTTGCTGGATGCTGCCTCTGCATTGTGAAGCTCAACAAAAATAATTTTTCATTTTTTCCCCTAACTTTTCCACTTCTTAGCAATTATGTTCCTTCCCTAGTTAGCTAATCGCCTGATCGTTTTCATACAATATCGTCAACCTCCCTTCCGTTGAGAACTTTGCAGTTAGCCTTTTGCTCCTGTTAGCTGCTTGTGACTAGCTTCCCATCCTCACGGGTTGACTTTTGGCACGCGGGAAATAAGCCTCATTTCCCCACACGTACGCTTGTACTGATACGATTGCACAAATGTCGATTCGAGCAGGATCAACTCACTCTGGCGCCGTTTCCTGGTGTGCTCGATAGAAGAGGGGAACCTGGGCGTAGGAACCACTTTTTAAAAAAAGTATTAGTATTGCTTTCTAAAGCCTTAGTAAGGCCACACCTGGAATATTCTGCATCCAGTTTTGATCACCAATGTTACAAAAAAGATGTTGAGACTTTGGAAAAAGGGCAGAGAAGAGCAAGTAAGAGGATTACAGGCCTGGAGACTAAAATATATGAAGAACGGCTGCAGGATTTGAGTTTGGTCAGCCTAGAGAAGAGGAGGACTAGGGGGGATAAAATAGCAGTATGCCAACATTTGAGGGACTGCCACAAAGAGTTGGGGGGGGGCAAAAAGTAGTAATGGATGGAAACTTAACCAATGAGAGAAGCAACCTGGAATTCGGGAGAAACTTCCTAAGAGTGAGGACAATTAACCAGGGGAACAGCTGGCCACCAGAAGTTGTGGGGGCTCCATCACAGGAGGTTTTTTAAGAAGATATTGGACAGCCATTTGTCTGGTGAGGTATAGAGACTCCTGCTTGTAACTTTGGACGGTCACTAAATGCACTGTTGTAAGTCGGGGACTGCCTGCATCTGTAGAACGTATTAGTTGCATTTACCTGAGATGACTACAGATAGTCCTCGACTTATAACAGTTCTTTTAGTGACCATTCAAATTTGCAAGGTTCCTGACAAAAGTGGCTTATGCCCATTCTTCACACTTACGACTGCTGCAGCATCCTCATGGTCATGTGATCAAAGTTCGGATGCTTGGCAACTGGTTCACACTTATAACGGTTGCACTGTCCCCGGGGGTTACATGATCCCCTTTTTGTGACCTTCTGACAAGCAAAAGTCCATGGGGAAGCCAGATTCACTTAACAGCGGGGTGACTAACTTAGGAACCGCAGTGATTCACTGAACATCTAAATGGGGCAAAACTCACTTAGCAAACTGAAATTCTGGGTTCAACTGTGGTCGTAAATCGAGGATTATTTGTACAGATATTCCAGACCGTGCCCCTAGGGCAGTCAATGATGGCGAACCTTTTGTTGTGGTGTGCCGAAAGCATGCACGTGCCTGCACCCACAATGCAATGCGCCCCCCCCCGCACATGCACGCACAATGTTCCCTACCACCTTACTTGCATTGCGCATGTGCGCGCCTCCCAGCTGATTGCGTCTGTCTGTTACCCAGCCTGTTTGCGTCCGTTTTCACCCTCCTGGAGGCTCAAGGGGAACCTCTGCAGCCTCGGGAGGCCGAAAAATGGGCCTTCCGGAAATACCGAAACGAGCCCGTTTTCAGCCTCCCGAGGCTTCTCTCGAGCCTCCGAGAGGGCGAAAACGGCCTCCCCCGGGCTCCAGAGGCCCTCCGGAGGCTGAAAACAGGCACCTCCGGTATTTCTGGAAAGCCCATTTTTCGGCCTCCCGAGGCTGCAGAGGCTTCCTTTCAGCCCCTGGGAGGGTGAAAGCGGCTTCAAACAGGCTGAAAATCAGCTGGGAGGCACATGCATGCGCAGTGCAGGTAAGTCTGACTGGGGCTCGCGTGCCTGCACAAATGGCTCTGTATGCCACTTACGGCACGCGTGCCATAGGCTTGCCATCACGGTCCTAGGGGATGTAACTGATGAAGCCAATAAAGCAGAGAAAGGAAAGAAACCATAAAGGAGTTTTATACAGATTAGAGCTTAGCATACACTTTTTTTTTTTAATCAAATACACTTGCAGAAGTCTTTGTTTGACGTACAGACGTTCAAGTTGTCCAGTGACACTAATCGGTTTTGCATTCCTAAGCCAAGCCCTTCCTTTCAACTTCTACTTCTGAAGGCACAGGACACAGATCCCCTCCCTCCCCCCACCCCAAATCAAAGTGGCAAAGCCACACAGGTAGCTGCCATTTATTCTTCTCTGCCACAGACTCATTATACAAAAAGGCAGGCAGCTACCCTGTTTTAATTATATATATATATGTTTTCTGAGGTTCTCGCGGGTATTTGTATGTGGATCTTTGGTTATTCGGGTTTTCTCCCGCGTAAGATTCAAAGTATCTAGGCAACGTTTCGGCGAGGTCCCACTCGCCATCTTCAGGCTGGTGCTTTCGGCTTAGTGCCAGTGCAAGCAGTGTGTGACCGGAGCTGCCATCTCTCTATATATACAAGTGGTGGGGGATGGTGTGCTGGGCTGGTTGGCTGTGCTGCAGCCTCTTGATTGGTTGATGGAGTTGATGTTGGTATAATGGGCTGTGTAATGGCCTTTAAAAAAAAAAAAAGAGATCAAAACACAAACGACCCAGGAGATTACAACGCAAGACCCAGGATACCACAACAAAAGAACTCACAAGCCCATCACACAACCCATTACCCAAGCCGTTAAAACACAAGAGGCTAACGACCCAGGAGATGACAGCACAAGATTCAGGATATCTCTACAACAAAAGGCCATTACACAGCCCATTATACCAACATCAACTCCATCAACCAATCAAGAGGCTGCAGCACAGCCAACCAGCCCAGCACACCATCCCCCACCACTTGTATATATAGAGAGATGGCAGCTCCGGTCACACACTGCTTGCACTGGCACTAAGCCGAAAGCACCAGCCTGAAGATGGCGAGTGGGACCTCGCTGAAACGTTGCCTAGATACTTTGAATCTTACACGGGAGAAAACCCGAATAACCAAGGATCCACATACAAATACCCGCGAGAACCTCAGAAAACAAATAGATTTTCTATGAAATATATATATGCAGGTCTTGGTGTGTTCGGGTCTTTTCCCGTGTAAGATTGAGAGTATCTTGGCGACGTTTCGACGAGGTCCCACTTGCCATCTTCAGGCTGGTGCTTTCAGCTTTGTGCTTGTGTGAGCACGACAAGAAATAACAACACAGCCAGCCAGCCCACTTACAACAGAGCCAGCACATCACACCTCCCCACCAGTATTTATAGAGAGACGGCAGCTCCGATCACGCTTTGCTCCCACAAGCACGAAGTCAAAAGTACCAGCCTGAAGATGGCGAGTGGGACCTCGTCGAAACGTTGCCAGGATGCTCTCAATCTTACACAGGAAAAGACCCGAACACGCCAAGACCTTCCAAGTTTGGCTTCTTTCGAGATTTGAACAAGATGATGAAAGGAGACCGGTGGCTGGCGCTCAACACACCAGTTATTGCTGGCAAGTTTAATCCAGAGATTTATGAATTGCATTTCTTTTTAAATTCTGGACAGGCTATGAAGAGGGTGAAGTACATTCCAATATAGATTAAAGGAACCTATCCCCAGACCCCAGCTAGGGATTTGGAGTCAGTTACCATCCAACTTTATTTCAAAGAAAGCTCTGGCGGGTAATTGGATCAGAAGCAGCAAAGTTGAATTAAAGCAGAAACACAACCGGGATAGCATCGCTTGAAACTTAGGACAATCTACTGGCATGGATATACTAAGATAATTAATAATGCTAATAGACTGAGGCACTTGGTTTTTTTTTAAGTACTGCATACTTTCTAACAGATGGGAGGGGCTAAAATGAACTGAATCCAGAATCAACGGCTAAAGGATAAAATTAATACATTTAATTTGATGATTTTAAAGGTTATTCCTACAATTTGTTCTACTTCCTAGTACGTTCAACAATGTAGCCTAAACGTTTAGTGTCCTGATAGCTAGCATGTATTATCTGTCAATGAACTTCCTGGGAATGATAACCAGAATCCAACATTATTAATAATGCCCCAGTTTTAAAGTGGGTTTGACGTTTAAAACTATTTTGAGAAATCTTTATTAGTACAACCAAGCCTCTGGAGATAAGCCATCAAAATAAGTCATTGTCCCCATTTCTGGCAAGTTTTGAGAAACCAGAAAATTTTTTGAGGAGTCTGAGGTCTTGGGGTATAATGAGAACCAAAATGGATTCTCTAATAAATCCGGTTCTTTGGAGATAATGCAGATAATGTTTTCAACTATATTCTAATCCAACATGCCTTACCTTTATCAAGGAATGGTGGAATTAAACTCCCCGAGGCACAAACAGGAAAATGATCTTGTTTAAAGATGGTTTTCTAGTCCAAGACTAGTACTTAATCAGCTGTACAACAGCTTCTCGCTTTTCTCAAACATTTAAGCCCCTCTTTTAAACATTTCACACCAAAGTGCTACAAGAATAAAAGGCTAACTTTTATACACCCATATAACGTGAGGAACAAGTAACCATTGTACCGCCTTCTTTCCTGAACAGACCCACAACAGTTCAAAAAAGAAGAATCTGAGAACGGTGTAATTCCACACAAAATTCTGTCCTGGCAGAAGAGCAGAGACTGCCATTAAGAGATTTCATGTTGAAAAGGGTCCCGAAAAAGCGACCGGACGCTTTCAAAGCAGAAAACGTTCTTATGAAAAGTTATTTTCTAGACTGGCAAGCCGCCCGTCAAACAAACCAGTTCCTGGATGCGTCCGCAGGCTCCAGAAACAAATTACAAAAGAATATTTGGCACCAAGCTGAAATTTCAATCTCCAATTAGTACTAGGCTTATGGGGAGTTGTTCTCTCTGTATAGAAATGCACCTCCTGCTATTCTATATTCCCAAAGAAAACCAGCGGAAATGCTGCAGCAAGGTAATTAAAGTAAGTGTTGTGTTTTAAAAACAGCAACAACAGCAGATGCAGCCTCAACGGGAGAGGGAGATCTTCCCCTATCTCAATATTTTCAAGACGGCATATCTGCCCAGAAAGCCTGACCTGAAGTCATTCAGCAGAAGGAATTTTACTCTCCATAATTAAGAGGATTAAATTTGTGTGTGGGGTGGTGGTGGTGGTGGGGTGTTTAACGCCTTCACACCAACTCTGAAAACTGTTCCAGGCAGGCAGGCAGGCAAGAAAGTAAGTTCCAACTGTCCCTAAGCTGCAGTGGATAAGCAGCTTAGACAAACCTTGTGTATTTTTCCCACCAAGTAGCATTTAGAAGGATTTAAAGAGAAACTTTTCAAAGTATCAGAAAAAGCCAGCTGTTTTTCCCGTGGCAGCTTCTGTGACCAGAGTGTCCGTTTTACCCTGGCTAAATTGCCTGAAGGGGTCCACTTCTGATTCCAAATAGAAGAGCAGCCAGCCAGCCGTCCAGTCCAGCCTTCTTGTGCATAAAGCAGAAACCGGCCTGGAACCAAGAACTGAGGTTTGGAAGGTCGCGCATTCTACGTCCACTGGCTGGAAATGATGCTCAGGTTAGTGAAACGTGTCTCGGCAGGGGAACTCCCCGCCACGGGAAAGATCAGTGTTTGCTGGAGTAAACTGTTTCCTCCTCGGTGTCCGTTTCATCCTGGAATTCGTGGCTCAGGAGCGACTTCTTGGAGCCGGTGGACATCATGCGGATCTCGTCCTCGTAATCATCGTGGTGCTGCCGTAGGCGGTGGAAGCCATCTTTGTGCCGGTTGGTCTTGATGGAACACACACACCAGATGATGCAGGCTGTGAGGATCACAGCTGACATGGTTGCACCTGAGCGGAGGAAAAGGGATGACAAAATGCAGAGGCCCTTGTTAGATTCAGGCCATGCGCACAAAGGTTAAACATGCTTGCCTGCAATTATCTCAGCAGAGATCAAAAAAAGGCACTGAATTCTGAAGAGGATAGTAATCTTCCCTTTTAAAGACCCCTCACATCTATCAATACATGTGAATGCAAGACCAGCTCAGCAACCCAGTGTAGAATTTGCATTTTAGAGCTGTGGTGGCGCAGTGGTTAGAGTACAGCACTGCAGACTGCCAGCAGTTCGAATCTCACCAGGCTCAAGCCTTCCATCCTTCCGAGGTCGGTAAAATGAGGATCCAGAGTGTTGGGGGCAAGAGGATGACTCTGTAAGCCGTTTAGAGGGGGCTATAAGGCACTGTGAAGCGGTATATAAGTGCTATTGCTATTGTTGTGATATGGTATGGAAGGGGCATTTTATGAGCTTTGGTGATGCAGTGGACTCTGCCCACAGTCAGGAGTTTGATCCCGGCCACCTCAAGACTGAATTAGCCTTCTATCCTTCCAAGGTCAGCAAAATGAGGACCCAGATTGTTGGGAGCAAGATACTGACTCTCAATTGTCCAGAGAGTGCTGTAAAGCACCGTGGAGCTGTATATAAGTCTTAAGTGCTATTGCTATTATAAGTTTGCATTAAATATAAACTGTCTATGCCAGCAAGATATGAAAACATCACATCGACCTGTCCCACCCGGTCAGGCAGAGAAGGTATGTTGCAGATCCCATCAGGTAAAGCTTAATTAAAGTTAAAGAATGAAAGAGTTAAAGAATCGATGGGTGGGGCCCAGGAAGAGGCCTCCTCTGCCATAGGCCTCACTCTGTCTCTATCTCCAAAGGTGAGCCGGGCCCCCATTCTCCTGGCCTTTTGCAACCGTGTGAAAACATGGCTCTGAAACATTACTTGGGGCTCATATAGGAACATGCAGCTGTGGGGCTGATTAGTGCTCCAATAGCCCTCCCTTCCCATGTTAACTCATTTTAAGAGTGTTTAATCATCCTTGCCTCCTTGTTCAATCTTTTATATACTGGTTTTATAGTTTAACATTTTATTGTACTCCGCCCAGAGCCCCTCTCTGAGGGAGACGGGCAGTTCAAAAATGAGAAAAATCATGAAATAAAGGGAATGCTGGATGCAAATGTAGAGCAAGCAAGTCGAAGGAAAATGGTTACAAGGCCAGAGTGATGAAAAGTGGTTTGTTTGCCTCCATCCAACTAGCCATTCAGACACAAACACCCGTCCCTCCCCTGCCCCCCGTAAAATACCCCAGATGACAGTACTAGGTTCTACCTGCTACTGTAACCACCAACTCCCTTGGAAGGCCAAAGATCTTGTTGTCTATGTCGAACTGTATATGCAGGAAGCTGGCCATGTCGTGGCGAACCAAGACCTGAAAATGACAAAACGTGTGTTTTGACCATCATGTGGATGCGCTCAGGGCATTCAAGGATTCACGCTAGAACATAAGCAAACCAGGGGCAGTGAGGTAACTTTCTCACTGCTGCAGAGTCAGCCCTGATCTCCAGCTGATGTCTTTAAAGGAGGATGTTGTGTGCAGGGGTGGGTGGGCTTCAAATTTTTTTTAGCAATGGGTTCTCTGCCCGGTGGCTGGGTGGGTGTGGCCACGGCCTAGTTGGCCTCCTGCACCATGGCAGGGAGGGGCGTTTTTGCCCTCCTCGGGCTACGGAGGCTTTCCTTGAGCCTCCGGGAGAGCGAAAATGGCCTCCCGGGCTCCGGAGGCTCCCTGGAAGCCAGAAACAGGATTGATTCCAGCCTTCCCAAACTCCCAGGAGGTCCGTTTTTTGCCCTCCCCGAGCCTCCGTGCGCACCCTGCACTCACCTGTATCCAAAACGGGACGTGTGGGGACTCCTGGGAAGGGAGGGGCAGGGTGGGCAGGGCCAGCCAGGAGTGGGATTTGGGGGTTCCCCGAACTGCACAGAATCTTAGCTTCTCCTGAACTCCTGCGAACCTCCAGCAGCCACACCCTCTGTGTGTGTGTGTGTGTGTGTGTGTGTGTGTGTGTGTGTGTACACACTAGTATAAATATATATTTACAAAAAGGACTGCCAGTTACGCCACCTCATTCCACATGGCATTTATTCCAAAGTGGAGCCAGGCTAGAACAAGAGGCTTTCCCTATACCTGGACGTGCTGCTGCTGGTAGCCTTCCGCTATAGCGTGGATCTTGTGATAGCCTGGAGCGAGAAGCACATGGAAATAGCCGCCTTCCTTGGTGCACACTTTTATCCCTTCGTTGAACACAATTTGGGTTTTGGACACTGGCCGGCCGTGCTTGTCTCTGACATAGCCATAGACTCCTTTGTGAACCTGGAGGAAAAGTGGGGTGGGAGGGAAACAGGGCAGGAAACACAATTACAATTTCTACGAAACACGTCCCTTGTAAGCGTTGTATGCACATACATCTTTTCTTGTATATGGAAGGGGAGACAGTCCTTGACTTAACAATAACCGAACCCAGAATTTTTGTCGTTAAGTCACTGCTGTTCTAATCGAATCACCATGTGAGCAGATTCAATTTTTTGAATGTTTTTTTTATGATGGTTCTTAAGTGAGTCGCCACATTCCTCTAAGTGAATTCCATGGTTATAAGCCCAAATCCAAGCAACTTATCCAGCAAAAAAACAGTTGCAAGTGCAAGTTGGTTGCCGATCACCCGAAATGCTATAATGTAACCATAAAGGTGGTATGGAAGTCATAATTCTGAGGACAGGCTGTAAGTAACTTCTATTTAGTCGGCTGCAACTTCAAACAATCACTTAAGCGGCCAGTCATAAATCGAGGAATATCTTTCCAAGATTCTTGACAGAATAAAAATGTAGATGTTCTATGCCAGCTGAAGAAGTTTCTATCTATCCACCCTGCAGCGTTTTCACTGCTCTGCGTTACGACCTTCTAAATTATCTTACTGCAAACTTTTGTGTCAATCGCTTCAATCTGTTTGCATCCCTGTACCTACAAAAACAGACGATAAGCTCAACGAATCAGACTGAACCCATAGATATACACCTTTTCTGTATGTTTACAATACACTAGCCAGGGGTGGGATTCAAAAATCCCAGCAACTGGTTCACTGCCCGGGTGCTGGGTGGGCATGGCCTACCGGAACTTCCCGCTTTCGGCTTCCAGTGGGCCTCCAGAGCCCCGGGAGGCCATTTTTTTCCCTCCCAAGGGTCTGGAGGCTTCCCCCGGGGCCTCCGGGAGGGTGAAAACGGCCTCCCCGGGGCTCTGGAGGCCCTCCAGAAGCTGGAATCAGGCCCGTTTTTGGACTTACCTCCATTGAAAATGGGCCTCGTGGAGATTCCTGGGAGGGGCGGGGTAGGTGGGGCCAGCTAGTCGGTTGAAATACCAATTCGGCGAACCAGATGTAACTTGAACATCCGGTTCGCCCGAAACGGTCCAAGCCAGTAGAATCTCACCCCTGACTCTAGCCCAGGGGTTTCCAACCCCCACTCCCTGGGCGGCCCATTCAGAACCAGGTCCCGCAAACAGGCAAGCACGGGCAAAGCTCCACTTGGGTGAGCAGCAGAGACTTGCCTGAGCTTTGGGCCCTTGCGCTGTGCCCGCTTGCGCCCGCCTACCACTCACACCAAACCATTCCCTTCGCCCCCCGCCCCCCAATTCCCTTCTTCCCACCCCCTGTGCTGGGCCAGGCTGGGTTGGTGGGAACCGTTGCTCTAGCCAGCATAAAGGCCCTGCTGTAAGACCTGAGGGGCATGGAGAAATTGAAAAGCAAGGCCATTTTTCCCGAGGTCATCTGCTGATCTTCCAGTGTGAGAGAAAATTCCCTTGTCCCAGCTTATCATCCTGCCTCTCCCCCCACCTACAGTGGAACCTCGGGTCGCAAATGTTCCTGCTTGTGTCCAAATCGGGTGGCAAACAAAAAATCCACCTGATTTTTTGAATCGGGTCACGATTCAAAAACCAGGTGGTGAACAAAACTGGCAAGGAAAGATTCCCTTTCCATGCCGATTTCCCCTTCGGCGCCATTTTTTTTTTTTTTTTACTGTGTACATGCGCAGCCAGTCATGCTTATGCACACGACCAAATTGGGTCATGACTGAAGTCCGGGAACGGGTAACAGTCACGACCCGAGGCTGCACTTTATTTCCTATTCTCTATATTCAAGACGTACATGAGATCCGATTCTTAAATCGAGTCTATTGCTTTTGGAGCAGTCACAAACCGAAAAGTTTGAATGTACAGGTTATGTCTTGACTTACGACCACAATGGAGCCCAAATTTTCTGTTGTTAAGCGAGACATTGTTCAGTGAATTTTGCCCCATTTTGCAATCTTTCTTGCCACAGTTAAGTGAAACACTGCAGTTGTCAAGTCAGTGACACAGTTGTTAAGTGAATCCGACTTCTCCCTTGACTTTGCTGGTAAAAAGATGGCAAAAGGTGACCTTGGGATACACAGCAGTGGTCTAAGTATCAACCAGTTGCCTAGCGCCTGAATTTTGATCACATGACCATGGGGATGCCACAAAGTTTGTTGACTGTGAAAAACGGTCCTAAGTCAATTTTTTCAGCGCCGTCGTAACTCTCAGCCGATCTCCTAGAAGCCTGAGGATTTGCCAGGATAAACAAGCCAACTCTCACAGTTCAGTGGCTTAAAGCTTGGTTTAATCACAAACAACGAACTCTCCATCTGGCGAGAAGCCGATCAAGGTTACCACTGAGAGCGTCTGCCTCCCAAGCGCCGTTTATAGCCGTGGCGATGCCCCCTGCTGGACGCCTCCACCTCCTAATTACGCCCCCCACTCTCTAATCATCCTACTTGCTTCATTTTCCGGGTGGTAATCGTGGGTCGTTAATCCCTGTCGACCCTAATGCTGTCTATCAACCCTGTCTAGCCTCATCCACCTATCAATCCCATCCACCCCCTTCCCAATTATCATCCCAGTGCCAGCGAGTGTCTTGGATCTCGCAAGAGCCCCATCAGGTCGCCGAGCGCCTGGACGCTGCCAACATTGATGTCATCAATGTCAGGGCTTTCCCAACGCCGCATTCCACCGCCCGAGACAGATTCTCCTTTGCTGTCGGCTCAGCAAATGCATTGGCGCCAGGGAGGCTCAAACTGGGAGTCCCCCACAGCCACGTCATCCACTTGAGCCCCGTCAGAGTTGGCGGGCTCCAAGGTAAGTATCACCATGCCTGGAGCCCAACAGTAACTTTGCAGGCAGGGGTGGGATTCAAAAATGTTAACAACTGGTTTTGTGGGCGTGGCTTAGGTGGTGGGCGTGGCTTGGTGGTCATGTGACTGGGTGGACATGGCTTGGTGGTCATGTTATTGGCTGGGTGTGGCCAAGTCAACATCACTCACATCGAGGCACGCATCTCCTCGCCTGGCCTCTCGTGACTGTGGGGATGCTGCAACAGTCGTAAGTGTGAAAAATGGTCATAAGTCACTTTTTTCAGTGCCATTGTAACTTTGCACTGTCCCTCCACACAAGCAAAGTACCAGCAAAGGAGGGGAAAAAAACTCCAGAGACGTTCCTGAGACAGGAAGTCTCGTCCTGCCAAGAATGTAATAAGGGTTAACGGAGAGGCAGTTTCTGTAAGCAACACCAGAATGTTTCCTTCCTGCCTTCCTTACAGGATTAGCCCAGTAATTTCTTCTAACAACCGGTTCTCCGAACTGTTTAGAATGTTAACAACCGGTTCTAGCGAATAGGTGCGAACTGGTAGAATCCCACCCCTGGTCACTAAACGAACTGCTGTAAGTTGATGACCACCCATAATTGACATCTAGCAACAGCCCATCAAAACTCACCTCCACCAGCATACTGAGGAGCGATTTCTTATTCTCTGTCCACAGAGTATGGAGTTGTCCTGCACTTGGAAAGTAACAGCAACTGGTGTATACTGTGATCTCTGGGCATTGCCCATATGTGACGCTGAAATCCTGGAGAAATAAGAGGGTTTAGATCAAAAGAAAGATAGCCCCCTATTTTTTTTAAAAAGTCCCAATCAGCAAAAGATTACAGGTAGTCCTCCACTTACGACCCACAACTGAGCCGAACATTTCCATGGCTAAGTGGAAAATTTCCACTGGGTTGTGCCCCATTTTACGACCTTTCTTGCCGCGGTTGTTCAGTGGATCAATGTAGTTGTCGAGTTAGTCACACGGTTGTTTAAGTGAACCACTGACTTTGCTTGTCGGAAGGTCCCAAAACGGGGAACACGTGACACCACGGGACACTGCAACCGTCATAAATATGAACCAGTTGCCAAGCACCTGAATTTTGATTGCCTGATCATGGGGATGCTGCAACGGTCGTAAGTGTGAATCCCAAGTCACTGTTTTTGGTACTTCAAACCAATGAATGGCTGTAAATCAAGGACTGCCTGTATGGGTAACCTTGATTACTTCCACTATCTGCATGATAAGCCCCAAAATAACCATCTCTGGAATACCTTCATGCTCCCTAGATGGCTGTGCCATTGTGCTCCCAGCAACACACCTCCGGGGATATTCTCATCTGCAAAAGAGCCAGAAATCAGAAACCCTTCCTTTATTTTATTTCATCCCATTTTCAATCCCAGCCGTTCTATTTGCAGTCTGATCCTGCAATCCAGAGTCAGCTCCACAGCTGCCAGCCCCACATGCTGGTTTAGGACGTTGTAGGCCCATACCTGATTTGTTAGGGCAGTTTGGCTGTCCTAGGTGCATCGTAGGGTGGTTGTTCGCATAGACAGACGCCAAATGTTTCAGCGTTTCCTTATTTTCCACTAAAAAAAAGGAAACAAAACAAACCAGTCAAAACTTCTTTTCAGAATGTTTAGGGGAGTTTTGGGGGGCATAGAATTGGCTAAAGGACCAAAGCCGAGTAAAGAGCCAGTCTGAAAAGATGTTTTGCAAAGCATCAGAAAGAAGAAAAAAATAATCCGCTCACCTGTCTGCACTGGTTTGTCATATGGGTAAGTAACAAGGAGTGACCCTCCATCTAAGGCAACTGAGAGGCTGAAGTCTTGCTTCTGGATCAGGTTCTCCATAATGGCTTTTGTTTCAGGTTCCCTTGCCCCGGAGGAATTGCCTAGCGGAATAATCACGGGATTTTTCACAGTAAGAGAGACAGCCTTCCCATTCAATTCTGGTGTAAATACACCACACAGTATGTGACTGGTGCAGAACCACATTGATCTAATTGCGATTTCAATCTGGAGGAGGAGGAGGAGGAGGAGGAGGAGGAGGAGGAGGAGGAGGAGGAGGAAAGGAGGCTGTGGGTCCCTGGTACTCTCTTGAGTTTGATTGTTTTCAGTGCTAGAAGGGAATGGGGTTTGCTCTCTGTTTATATACAGTGGATTGCAATGCCTGTGTGTGTGTGTGTGTGTCCCTTGAATAGGCTGTTGTTTATTTCTTGATTGTTTCTTGGGTGTTAATCCCTCCTTCTCTGAGTGTTGATGGAGGGTGGACTGCTAATGACAATGCTCTAAACAATAGCCAACCAATACTCTCTGAACTACCATCTCAGACATACAACCAAGCAGTACACAACAGCCTAATCAAGGATCTACCAAGGAGAAAACAACAACCCCACAAACTTGGATAGAGGAAGCTAAGATACATCATCAGACAGCCAACCCCACTCCCTTCTATTACTCAAGATGTTATCTGTTGGATAACTGCAATATTTGCAAGAAAGCAAACTGGCTCAGATAGCAGCAAGAATTCCACACTTCAACCCTGACCTACATATGCTCTGTTCTATTGATATTATTTCAATCTGTATAACAACCCACTGGCTATGGGTTAAAATACATAAAACAACAGAAATTATTGAAAATACATTATGCGAGACACAACCTACATTCAAAACATTAAAAAACATATAATTTGAATAAACAAACCATTGATAAGACATCTAAGCACACCAATGGAAAAAACTGAATTGCATGTAAGAACAAGTGATACATGATTAATCTCTACATGCTAAAACAATCCAGTAACCAAGGGATCAGAGGCATGGAACATTCTGTCTTCCCTGGTGCAGACAAAGGGCAGCCCAGAAAGGAACACATTAACCTGATCTTACTTGCAAAATCTGTGTCCAGATCTTTGCCATTGGCATTGGCCTGTCCCAGTTTGGAGGTACAGTCGCCTTCTTGGGCAATCTCACGCCCATCTGGATTTAAGGACGGTACAATCACTATTCTTGTCTTCTCAATTAGCTGGGTTGGGGTGGGGGGGAAACAGCCAAAAATAAATTACAAAAATAAATCAGAATTGCATTTGCACAACATTGGAAAAGCGAGGAAACACCTATGGAAGAAGATATAATTAAAAAACATTGGACCGTGCAGAAATGGACAGATTGACATTGAAGATAAAAGAAAAAGAAGACGCAGAATATTTTCGAACTTAGGACTTGCTTTATCAATGGTTGGATAAAAGGGGTACAAATTAGGAACTTAAGAAGTATTACTAAGTAAACGAATTGACTCAGACAGTACGCTGTTCATTAAGCACACATTGCATGTAAAGAGAAAACAAATAAAAAATATGTTTTAAAAAATAACCAAAAACAAACCATTTCGTGGAGAATTAATCCACTCTATCTCACCAAGGAGGACTGGGATAACTGAAGAGGGGCTCACTTTAACTCATGGCAAAGTTTCAAGGTTTGCAGCAAGACTGAGCTCCTTCTATTAAGGCTGTTGGTGCAAAAAACAGCTTTTGGAAGCAAATGCAAAGAGTAACTTTCCTCTACTGAACAAGGTGCCTCTCTTTCATAACCTAAAATCCATTTCAGCAGACTGTAAGGAAATTGGGAAACATTCAAAGATGGCTGTTTATCAGTTATGGTTACATAAGGGAGGATTTTTACTATAATTGTAAAGCTACTGTGGTGGTTTTAGGCCAGACAAGGAATAATGGATGGAAACTGAACAGGGAGAGATTTAACCTGGAAATAAGGAGAAACTTTCTGACAGGGAGAACAATCAACCCATGGAACAGAAGTTGCCCCCCGAAGTTGTGGGAGTACCATCAGTTGAGACTTTCAAGAAGAGATTGGACTCCCATTTGTCAGAAATGGTGTAGGGTCTCCCGCTTGGGCGGGGGGTTGGACTAGATGACCTACAAGGTCCCTTCCAACTCTGATTATCTGTTATCTGTTGAGTGACGTGATGGGCATCCCCTTATCAGATCTGGATATTTTAAAACTCTTACAGGGCAAAACTCTTACAGGGTGTGTAGTATTTCAACATTTATAAACAGAGGAAAGAGTGGGAAAACAGAACAAAGCTGTGTCATAAAATATAAAGGCAGAATGACTGCACATAAAAGGCCTCACCTGGAACATTCCCAAACCAAGAGAAAAGCCACAGTGGCCTTTGCTCTCTTCAGATTTCAGACTACCGGAGATGGTTTTCCACAGGGCTCTAATATATTCACGTTCCACCTAATCTAATAAATAGGCAATTCTACAAGTATTTGCTACAATACTGTAGATCAGAGTGGGCAAATCCTTTGTGACTTGTGGACTTCAACTCCCACAGTTCCTGAGAGAATGTGGCTGGCTCAGGAATTCTGGGAGTCAAAGTCCACAGGTCATAAAGGGGCCATAGCTGCCCACCCCGCTGTGCCATGTTTCCCCAAAAATAAGACCCTGCCTTATATATATTTTTTGCCACAAAAAAGGCACCAGGTCTTATTTTTGGGATGAAGGAATGTCGTCCACTGACTCACCTCACTTGAATGCGTCGCCCCTGACCTTCTTTTCGCTGTCAGAGGCCTTCAGGAACTTTTTCCTGTGGCCAGCAAGGCTTTCCTGAAGGCCTCTGAAGCCGATTAAGAGCTCTGGATCAATCCACAGCTCTGGATCGGCTACAGGGGCTTTCAGGAAAGCCTTGCTGGCTGCAGAGGAAATGGGCCGGCAAGGCAGGTGTCAGAATGTGCAGGGTGTGGCTACAACTGTCCAAAGGTAAGTAGTAGGACAGCTCCACCACCCCACCCCCAGCCTAGCTTAATTTTTACCTGTGGACCACGCAGTGGGCAGGGTCTTAATTAGGGTTTATTTTGGAAGTAGAGCTTATATTGGGCACACATGTAAAAATCAAGCTAGGACTTACTTTCAGGGTAGGTCGTATTTTCAGGGAAACATGGTAGAGCTTACAAACATGTAGGTCACCCACCTTTGTGATAGCCATGTTCTTTTTGTAGTTCATGCAGAGGAACTCTGCCAGGGCCAGGAGCAGCTCGGTACCAACGGGGGCATTCCCATGGATGCCGGCCACAAAACGGATCTTCGGCTCTTCTGGCTCAGACTGGTTGGGTTTGTTAGAGATTTCCAGGGACCATATGTGACGAATCTCACGACTTTGGCCCAAGCTGCCAAAATAAAAAAAAAAGAGTAGAAGTCTATTGGCTGCTTTTTAAAAATAGAAATGGCAATTTGGGGCTGCTTTTTCATTCTGCAGAAGTTAAAAACAACATTTCCAAGAATGCTGAGACATGTATAGTAAGATATCAATACAGCAAGGAAACTACCTCCCACTGAAGGACCTCAAGATTGCTCCACAGGGAAAGAGCAACAAAACACCAACAAATGAATATAGTTCCAGCTACTTTTGGTTACTCAAGCTAAAAAAAAAATATTATCACATTTAAAATAGTATGATTTAATAGCAACAGCACTTAGACTTACATACTGCTTCACAGTGCTTTACAGCCCTCTCTAAGTAGTTTACAGAGTCAATCTCTTGCCCCCAACAATCTGGGTCCTCATTTTACCGACCTCGGAAGGACAGAACGCTGAGTCAATCTGCAGCCAAGTCAGGATCGAACTCCTGGCTGTGGGCAGTTAGCCAACAAATACGGCACTCTAACCACTGTGCCACCACGGCATAATTTAAGCTTCTCATAGGTTTATTACTTTTTTAATTCATCCCATATCTTTTAGTGACACCAATCACATTACTAAGGTTATCAGCTACTGAATATAGTAAGAATTTTGGTACTAAGAACAATAAGCAACAAAATATTTTTTTCCTGACTTGGTGTTCTCAAGGAAAAAGAGTGAATCGCCTTTTCCTGATGCAGATACAACTTGCAGGAAAGTTCAGCTTTCATTTTGAGTAGAAAGCCTACCCCTAATGATTTACCAATCAGACCAACAAATCTGGGGTCTATGTGTCTCTGATACCAAACCAATAATCTCAGGGCTCACCCCGTCTTCCATTATTAGCAAAGGAAAAACACTGTTGAGGTAATATTTCAAAGCTCAATCTATCTGTATAATACATTATTTAGCAAGTATCAACATAGAATTTAGTTTGTCTAAATTAGATGGTGTATCCCAAAGATGCTTTTTCAGGAAGCAACCGGACTTTCTGGTTCTTTAATTTGAAGAATTAAACAGCTCTGACAGGATAGTGGGGAACTGAAGGATTTACACTCCTTGCAGACAGCTGGTCATTTGCATTCTTTTTAGTGAGTCGTTGAGGCCACTTGGAGGTTTGTCTATGTCTTCAGGGTCACCTGAGTGATGCTAATGATTCCTGTAATCTGCAATTTTTTCTTTTCTCTGGAAATCCATTCCTACTCCACCATTTTGCAGACTATAGGAACCAAGAGCATTATTCAGGTGACCCTGAGGACACAGAGTAACCTCTTAGTGCTTCAACGACCCTCTAAAAGGAGGCAAATGACCAACTGTCTGCAAAGAGTATAAATCCTTCCATTCCACACCATCCAGCCAGAGCTGAAGAAGCTTCTTGGATGAGAAGCAAAACGTCTTCAAAGAAAAAGAAGAAAGTCCAACTGCCTCTTGAAAAAAACACCTTTGGGACAACCATAACCTGGATGATGGAGAACCTCTACAGATTTTTTGATGCAGAGTGTTTTTTAGAATGGCGGACACAGCAACTCTGGACCGCATTGCTGTATCAGGTCACTTTCTTTAGGAACTTTCTTTCAGGAACACATCTGTGATCCAGTGATGGGACCCAGGCTGTGGTTTTCCAGAATGCAGATGTCTCCAAACACCGTCACATACCTAACAAGAGTTGTGATTTCGGGATAATTCAAATTCAAGCCTCTGAGGAACATAGACAGATCATTGTAGGGACGGTAACGTGAAGGCTGGACATCGGCTGAAGACGCCAAGAGGAGATGTTCCAAGCCATTCTCTGCTGAGAGGTCTTTGATCAGGGTTTCAAACTCCTTGGTGATCGGTCCGTTGGAGTCCGCCATGTTCACATGCGGTGCTGACCCTTCTTCAACTTTGGAGCCTTTTCGACTTAAAGTAAAGTTGACTTGTGCAGCGTTGTTCTCTTCAACTTTGACCATCTTGGTCTCTGAATTATACCTTCCAGAAAAAAAAGAAGAAAAACAGGTAAGAAGATGAAGGAAAGAAGGGATGCTGCAACAGTCATAAGTATGAAAAAAGGGCCATAAGTCACTTTTTTTCAGTGACATTTTAACTTCAAATGGTCACTAAACAAATGGTCAAGGACTACCTGTATCACAGTAAACATCACTACCAAATCTAACCAGTTATTGAGGGGGCTAAACTGATATGGCTATTCGGAATTTGGCAGGCTATGATGTTCCCAATTTCTTAAATCATTAACACTGCAAAAATTAAGCTGCTTCATTTAAAATTTACTTTGGCTTAATTGCACGTAACCTTAATAATAATTACTCCTTGCAGACATGCATGTATGTAGTCCTCGACTTACAATAGTTCATTTAGTTCGAAGTTACATCACTGAAAAAAGTGACTTATAACCGTTTTTCATACTTAAGACCGTTGGTCATGTGATCAAAGTTCAGATGCTTGGCAACTGACTCATATTTTTGACGGTCACAATGTCCCGCGGTCATGCGATCCCCTTTTGGGACTTTCTGACAAGCAAAGTCAATGGAGGAAGCCAGAGTCACTTAACAGCCGTGTTGCTAATTTAAAAACTGCAGTGATTCACTTAATAAATGGGGTGAGAAAAGTTGTAAAATGGACCAAACTCACTTAACAAATGTCTCGCTTAACAACATAAATTTTGGTCCTAAGTGGAGGACTGCCCGTGGTCATTTTATTTAGTGGAAACATTCTTATGCAAACCTCATAAAACAGAACCACAGAAAGAAAAGAGATGCTTCTTTTAAACCCCCCCCCCCCAATTCTCTAATTTCCTCTATGTAATTTAAACAGTATCTGCTGAGGCATATACCGCACTTCCACCTACATCTTACCACCGTTTATGAAACCACATCCTTTCTGACTTTTAATATGGGGAATAAAAGCTGCAGTATTAGGGGCAGAGCTACTGTTTTAAGTAGACCGAGAAGCCAAGAAGACACGCTGGCTGGAGGAATTCTGGGAGTTGAAGTTCACAGGTCTTAAAGGTGCCAGGGCTGGAGACCCCTGCACTATAGGACAGCAGGAAGCTGACTCCTGTCACTCCAGACCTCTGGCACACTTGTGATGGAATAAATCTCCGAAGTCTTAGGTAAAATTGCCTTCCTCTCAATTGCTCTCTCCTCGTTTCAAGTGAAGATGCCACAGCCTGGCTTGGTTGAAAGATGACGTTAATGTGTTCATCCCAGAGAATCCCTACAGACTTTTAGCTACACAATTTGGGATGAACCCACTTTGAATAGTGTGGGAGTAGGAATGAATGGATTCCAGAGAAAAAACTGCAGACTACAGGAACCAGGAGCACCTCTCGGGTGAACCTAAGGACACAGATAAACCTCCAAATGCTTCAACCACCCTCTAAAAGGACCAGCTATCTGCAAGGAATATAAATCCTTTCCTTCCTCCTCATCCAGTCAGAGCTGAAGGAGCTTCTTGGATGAGAAACGAAACAACTTCAAAAGAATAAACAAGGAAGTCCAGTTACCTCCTGAAAAAGCACCTTTGGGACAACTGTGACCTGGATGACTGAGAATCTCTGCAGACTTTTAAACCTTCCATGTTAAAAAAAAAAAGAAAAAATCCCTGCAATTTTCATCTTGCTTTTCATAGAAATCTGAGATTTAAAAAACTGCTCACAAGTTATTTGCAGTTTTTCTATGGGGCAAGAGTGATAAGCTGCTTGCTGTCTACCTTTGGAAGCCCTGAAGTTGATGTTCTTCTTTGGGATGATGTAGAAGATACAGTTAAGATATTTCCAGAGCCTTAACTGTGCAGGATCAAGAGGCTTCTTCCCATCCTTGTTTTACTTCAGTCACTACTTCTTCCTTGCAACCCCAAGAGACATACTTTTTTACTGGGACTATTTGCCAATAATCGCTTTTGTAAACTCCTGCTTGGTCACCAGTGATAGTATCCAGCCACTTGGTCATAGGCCCCTATTTTGTCTTTAATCTTTTCAAGTACAGGCGGTCCTCAACTTACAACCACAACTGAGCCCAACATTTATGTCGCTAAGTGATACATTTGTTAAGTGAGTTTTGCCCCCGTTTTAGGACTTTTCTTGCCATGGTTGTTAAGCGAATTGTTGCGGTTCTTAAATTAGCATTGTTGGTATTGTTGATAAGTGAACCTGGTTCCCCCATTGATTTTTGCTTGTCAGAAGGTCGCAAAAGGGGATGATACAAACCTGGGACATTGCAATGGTCGTAAGTATGAAACAAGCGTCTGAATTTGGTCACATGACCATGGGGAGGCCGCAAGGATCATAACTGTGAAAAATGGTCCTAGGTCGCTTTTTTCGGTGCCGTTGTAACTTTGAACAGTCACCAAATGTTGTAAGTCGAGGACTACCTGTACTACAATCCCTACAACAATCAAAATAGCAGCCTCTTTTGCTCTCTGTAGGGAACAGGTGATTTAATTCCAGCGCATTTAAGAAAGGGCCCTCAGGTGAGAATGACGGATATTAGATCACCGAAAGCCGCGTGGCTTACCCTCGGGTGGATGCCGTGATCTTGTACGTCCCTGGAGCCAGCAGGCGCCAATAATCCCCGGCTTTGTAGGTGGAGACAGAGTGGTCAATGCTGGCGATGTTGATGGTTGCGTTCAAGATGCCTCGTCCATCCGTGGCATCCAAAACAAACCCCCAGACACCCTGGTGGACCTAAACGAAGAGAGATGAAGGGTTACACTGCGCAAGAGAGAGTCTTGGATCCGTGTCCCCCAAACCGATGAGAAAACAAGGGCCAGGGAAAGAGTGCAGGGAAGAGCAATGAAGCCGATTAGGGGGCTGGGGGCTAAAAAACATACGAGGAACGGTCACTGACAACTTCAAAACGGAGTTTATGCTGTTATAGCCATTTTTGATGTTTCTCAGCTTGCCACAGAATAAGGGAGGAGGGAAAGGTTTGGAATGTTAGCCTAGATGACAATCAGCAGCGATCATCTTTTATGTTCTATTCCATATCTTATTACTATTTTACATTTTCTGTATAGCTTCTCCCCTCTTTTAATTTTCTCAATTTTAATTATCTCATCTCAATTCAAATAATTGTATTTATATTTTTTGTCTGTCCTGTTTCAATTATCTATTATCTTTTCTCATTAAACAAAGTTTCTCCTGTAGTTACTGATTGGAGTATGATGCCTTTATATCTTTTAAGTTTATCCATTTGACTCTTATTTAACCTTCAATATATACTCTAAAGTTATAACATTCAATATAATACATAACTTCCATTCGGATTCTGCTTGGTACATTCTTAAAATACACACTATATTCTTAAAAAAAGAAAAAATTATAAATGTATGTAATTAAAACAATACATTCCATTCCAATTCAATTCTATCATTAATATTAATATTCATTAAAATCTTAACTTCTTTAACATTACTTTTCCATTAAATATCATACTTCTATGGGAACAATTATAAGCTTTCCATAATTAATTCCCCCCCCCCTCTTCACTTATATTTTATAAAACATTAACTAATTAAAATGTTCCCGTCCCTTCCTAATTCAATTTTCTCATTTATTTTATTTCACTTATTTTTCACTAAATTACACTATTTTATCCCTCATTTTAATCATACATTGTTTCCAATTTTCTACAGTTATTTCTATTACTAATATAACAATACAATCTTATGTACCTTTACAGAATCCCTTTTTCAGTTAAATTTTCACCCATTATCTCTAAATAGGTCCTGTTTCTCTATATCTTGTTCCCGTCCTTTGTAACTTCTTTTCCTTTCCTTCTTCCCTCTCTTCTTCTCTCTCCCCTTTTTACCCCCTTGTCTCTCTACCTCTATTTCTCTCTTCTGTATTCCCCACTTCTGTTGCTTTCCAGTAATATACTTATTTTTCGAATTATTTTTCTTTTCTTTGGTTGTTTTTTTAAGTCTTAAATTCTCCATTCTCTTTTCCCCCTTTCCTTTTTCTTCCCCACATAGAATTACTTGTTCATTAAAGATGGCTTCTTCTTTGTCCCAATCTTCTTGTTTTGCAGACGTTTCTTGCTGTTTCTCATAGTTCTAAATCTCCATTTCTAAGAATTGAAAAACGAAGCCAAAAGAACCCTTCCCTTCTTGTGCATCTTCTTTGTACTTTTTAAGTTCCATTTTCAATTCATCCAGAAGTAGTGCCATTGTATAAATTTTTAAACAACCACCTGATTAATTTAGTCATTCAAATGCAATAACCAAGAATCCAAAGATCACCAAGTAATCCAAATACACGCAAGCTGTTTCCTTTTTCCTCTTTTTTTTCACTTTCTCTTCCAGAGAAAATTGAAGGGGCAGAAAATTATCTTACCTGCTTGATAAACTGCAGCAGAGACCGGCGGTTCTTCTCCCAGTATTTTGGCAACTCTTCTGCCTTGGGATATTTGACACAGCCCAATTCAATGGTCACCTCAAAGCAGTTTGTGTTAAGGTAATTCCAATCCTGCATGCCACCTGAAACCAGCATTATCAGAAGGGAGATCAAAGGCTTATGCTTAGCGGCGAAGGTCTTAATAAAGAAAATTAATTCCACAGAGGTGAAATCCTAACCATAAGACTTTGAGGTTGAGGAACAAAATACAGGTAGTCCTCGACTGATGGCCACAATTGAGCTCAAAATATATGCTGCTAAGCAAAGCAGTTGTTCAATGAGTTCTGACCAATTTTACGACCTTTCTTGCCACCGTTGTTAAGCGAATCACTGCTTGTCAAGTTAGCAATGCAGTTGTTAAGGGAATCGGGCTTCCCCATTGACTTTGTTCATCAGAAGGTTGCAAACGGGGATCACGTGATCCCAGGACGCTGCGACCATCCTAAATACGAGTCAGTTGCCAAGCATCTGAGTTTTGATCACGTGACCAATGGGGATGCTGCAACGGTTGTAAAGGTGAAAAGAGGTCATGGGTCACTTTTTTCAGTGCCGTTGTCACTTTGAATGGTCACGAAAGTAATGGCTGGAAGTCGACGACTAACTATAAAGCAAGATGCCATTTTAAGAAAAGGAGTTTCATATTGCCCAAAAAGGAGCAGTACAGGTAGTCCTTGACTTACAACAGTTTGTTTAGTGACCACAGTTACAACAGCATTGAAAAAAGGGACTTAGGACTGTTTTTCACACTTACAACCATTGCAGCATACCTGTGGTCACGTGATCAACATTCGGATGCTTGGCAAAACTGACTCATATTTATGACAGTTGCAGAGTCTCCCTTTGTGACCTTCTGATAAGCAAAGTCAATCAATAAGCAAAGTCAATGTGTTGTTTTAATTACATATATTTATAATTTTTTCTTTTTTTAAGAATATAGTGTGTATTTTAAGAATGTACCAAGCAGAATCCGATTCATTTAACAACCAGGTTACTAGCCGATCAACTGCAGTGACTCACTTCATTAACTGTGGCAAAAAAGATCGTGAAATGGGGCAAAACTCACTTAACAATTGTTTCACAACAACACAAAATTTTGGGCTCAACTGTGGTGGTAAGTTGTGGATTATCTGTACTTCTTTTATATCAATAGTACTGAATAAAATTCATGTGAAATAAGAACAAATCTAAAATAGAAAAAGGGTTTTTAAAAAAGAAGATGCCAAATAGAGTACAGAACTGTTTTCTTAAACACCTGTGCCTAGCAGTAGAAGGCAGTATTTATTTATTTTTAAAAATGGAACTCAAGGAAATGCAGTTGGAACACTTTGCCGTTTCCTCAGTAAACACTAGCTGGGTTCATACACCGTGTAAATCAGGTGTATCTGGTTTGGACACATATAACAAGCAAATAAACATTTGTGGTGGGCAAAGCAGTTCAAATAAAGTGTTCCAAATTCAAAGCTCCTAATCTCAAAGTCAAAACTGTTTTGATGTTAAAAAATTTTTTTTCCCCCACGGTCCTCATCATGGCTGCCTTATAGGGAAAAATTCTTCACCTTGAGAAACTCGGAACAACCTGAAGAGGATTTTGGATCTTATTTTCGCACATAAAACCTATAGATGTTGTTGCCCCCTCCCAACAAACATCTCCAGCATTTATGCTTTCTCCTCCCAAAGGTGCTTTTTCAAGAGGCAACTTTCTGGTTTTCCTTTGAAGACATTTCAGCTCAGCTGAAGAAGCTTCTCGGGTGAGAAGCGCAACGTCTTGAAAGAAAAACTAGAGAAAGTCCCGTTGGCTCTTGGAAAAAAAGCAGTTTGGGGACAACCATGACCTCCATGGACATTTATGCTTTACCTGGGACATTATACCAATTCGCTCCATTAGTGATGCCACGAGGGAAATATTCATCAGGATATATGTTGTCGCATGGATGGCCCTGGAACATTTCCACATTCTCCTGAAAGAGTAGAATATGAATTCAGATTCATGCTGTTACGCTTGAAATCACAGAGAAACTTTTCATGCAAAGAGTTTTTCCTTCAATACGTGCCTATTTATGAGCAGTAGTGCGAGATAACAGATCACAGGGAGGTGAAGTTCCCCGTGATCCCATGTGAGCTTATAAAAAAAGGCTAAGCAGGCCGAACCTGTTCAGCACTTGAAAGGGAGACAACCAGGAAATCCTAGGGCTTTGAGCTGGACTGAGAAGCATGCCGGATGGAAAAGGCCAGGCGCTCAAGGAAAACAATATGGACACGACTCTGATGTCACCAGTAGCTCACCTTGACCCCAAAGAGACTTGAGTTTACACATCCTTATTAAATTCAGGTTGGAAAAATCCAAGTCTTACATCATTACGGATTTTTGGGGTATCGCTTTTCAGCTTCCATTCTAAACAGGGTACATACAAGTAAGTAGTTTGTGAATGATCAAACTCCAAACTACATTTTTATTCTTGTGGATGGTACAGGTAGACCTCAACTTACAACAGGTAGTTTAGTGACTGTTCCAAGTTACAAAGGCACTGAAAAAGGTGACTTATGACCCCTTTTTTCACAGTTACAATCTTTGCAGCACCCCCATGGTCACGTGATCAAAATTTGGTGATCAACCGACTCATATTTATGACAGTTGCAGTGTCCCGGGGTCATGGGATCAACTTTTGCAACCTTCTGATGAGCGAAGTCAATGGGAAAGCCAGGTTCGCTTAACAACCGGGTTACTAACTCATCAGCTGCACTGATTCACTTAACGACTGTGGCAAGAAAGGTTATAAAGTGGTGCAAAAGTCACTTAACAAATGTCTCTCTTAACAACAGAAACTTTGGGCTCAATTGTGGCCGTAAGTCGAGGACTACCTGTATCTGAAAAATCAAAATATGTGAAAAATTACTACCTATTTATCCCAACATTAATCCAGTATACTATTCTCTTACAATTTTGACTGAATAAACCTGTGAGACAGGTTAAGCTATGTGATACTCTGGATCATCCACCAAGTTTCATAATTGTCAGAGTTCTTATTTAAAATTAAATTAAAATCCCACTACAGTCACAGCTTTCGTACCCTAAAATCCAAGCAACCTGTTGGTTGAAATATAACAGAAGAAAACCTAGCAGGATCTACAATCAAGATAACAAGGACCTGCATTTTTTTTTGCAGAAATTAGTAAAACCAGAGAATAATGTCACCCACAACTTTTGAAAGTGTTGACTTGAGTTTATTCGGATCACATTACCCTACTATTTCCCTCCAGATATTTGGAGCAGGCCTTCCTGTTGCATTCTTGTATGTGTAACTAACAATTCACTTTCTTTGGAACTTTAGTGCCTTCCAAACATTTTGAATTAAATCTTCCAAGATCTCCCGGTCAGTCATTGGGTTTATACTTCCCTTTAGTATATATCATTCATTCCTGGACTTGTAAAAGAATTACAGTGGCTGGTTTCAGAATGATATTAAGGCACAAACCAGAGCGGTAAAATTTATTCCACAAAGCCACATGCAGGTCACAAAATGTTATAGGCAAAGTCCTTTCAGAAATTGTCAGGAAATTCTATTTTTTTGAAGTGACAAGAAGAAAAACTGTATTTAACGGATCCAAAGTAATTTCATCTGAATTAATTCAAATCTACTTTTGGCCCTAACAATATCTACTTCTTTCTTTCTTTCTTTCTTTTTTGTTGGGGGGGGGGGGGAGAGTTTGACCTCCACAAAAGTGAAACTGAAAAAAAGTTGTTCACCCTTGCTGTGAACCGCGGTTGCAAAACACAATGGCTAAGTTAACGTATCATATTAAATAAACATTTCATTACAGTTTAGTGCAGGACTCCTTAATCTTTTTGATATTGTGAACCCCCTAAAAAGATAAATGAATTTGTGTGAAACTCTCAGCCCCGCCCTGAATAAAACAAATGATTTGTTTGCGGTTAGAGCAAAGAAATATATTCTTTACAAAGGGTACAATTTCCATCACATTCTGAAGTCTGTTAATATTATTTATTTTACGTACTGCAATAATTAGCAAGGACTCCTACTTACTAATATAAACAAAAACAACCAAAACAGCACAGGTCCCAAAGGTGCTTTTTTCAAAAGGCAACTGGACTTTCTGGTTTTTCTTTGAAGACGTTTCACTTCTCATCTAAGAAGCTTCTTCAGCTCTGATCGGATGGTGGGGAAGGGAAGGATTTCTACTCCTTGCAGACATACTGGTCATTTGCATCCTTTAAGAGAGCCCGTTGAGGCCACTTGGAGGTTTATCTGTGTCCTCAGGGTCACCTGAGTGGTGCAAATGCAGGTGTGGAGCCTTCTTGGAACTGCTGAAAGAACTGGGTTGTAGACTGGAGATAGATGGGGTCATATCCCTCCCGCTCTGTGGAGGGAGGGCTGTTCAATTTGGAGATAGATGGCCTCTTGGACCCCCTCTTTCAAACAAGTGGTCCTCTCTGTCCAAAAGGTGGATTTTGCTGTCTTCAAAAGAGATACGTCTTTTAAATGCAGGTGGAAGTGCTGAATCTAGTCAGATTCAAAAGAATGCAAATGACCAGCTGTCTGCAAGCAGTATAAATCCTTCTATTCTCTGCTATCCGGTCAGAGCTGAAGAAGCTTCTTGGATGAGAAGCAAAATGCCTTCAAAGAAAAACCAGTTGCCTCTTGAAAAAGCACCTTTGGGACAACCACGACCTGGATGACGGAGACTCTCCATAGACAAAACAGCAAGGGGCATATAAATACACAATATTACTATAATCCCCATACCTAGTAAACACCGTAAACGTCCAATTTATACGGATAAAATTGACCATTTTCCCCCCTTATCCAACAGAACCTTTCCCAGAATCACCTTGTGGTGAGATGGGTGGCAAATAAATAAATAATACCGTGTTCCTCAGAAAACACAACCCATCCCATAATAAGCCCAATCCTAATTTTTTGGGGTGGGCCTAATATTGCCCCTACCCCGAAAATAAGCCTGGGGGATGGGCATGGCCGGCATGAGTGGCGGTGCGGGCATGGGAGGGTGGCAAGTGTCCGGCTGCAGAGAGGGGCGAAAGTCATTCTGCGCTGAACCAGAGGCCTTCCGAGCCTCCAGCGTATCCCAGGACTGCAACGCCGAAGATCTGGAATGGAGCCTTCTGCGTTGCAATCCTAGGATACACTGAAGGCTCGGAGTGGCGCCGTTTTTGTGAAAGGCAGGAAAATACGGAGGGGAATTTTCCTGCCTGTTATCTATTCCTCTTAGAGCAGGACCCTTGCAAGGCTCGTTGTGGCGTTGCACTCATGAATGGCAGCACCTCCATGGGCTTCATCGCACCGGGGAAGCTGGCATCCTACCGTGAGCAGTTGCGCCAGTGTATCCAAACTCGCAGCAGGGCCACCGCTCACATGCACAACGGCACAGCAATCCTCGCAGGGTCCTGTTCGAAGAGACTGAGCCGATGTGACGAACCTCACGGCAATGCCGCCGCTCGCACACACCACACTACAACAAGCCTTGCCAGGGTCCTGGGATAAGCTGAAGGCTCGGAGTGGAGCCGTTTTTGCGAAAGGCAGGGAAATGAGGAGGGAGAAGGAACTTGAGGAATGGATGACAGGCAGGAAAATTCCCCTCCCCATTTTCCTGTGAAAAAGGCTCCATTCTGAGCCTTCAGCGTATCCCATGACCCTGCAAGGCTTGTTGTAGCATTGTACATGCAAGCAGCGACACAGCAATCCTTGCAGAGTCCTGCTCAAAGAGGAGGTGCCGATGTGATGAACCTCACAGCCGCCGCTCGCCCGCTACAAAAAGCCTTGCAGGGTCCTGGGATAAGCTGACCTCCTTTTGGCTGCTACAGAAGCAGCCGGTGGAGAGGCAAGGCACGCGGGGCGTTCCTTCGGACAGAAGCAGCCCAGTGGCTGGACGAGGCACATGGGGTGAAAATTAAGACACCCCTTGAAAAGACAGCCTGGCCATTTGGGGGAGGGGGTCCTAAAAAAATAAGGCCCTGTCTTATTTGCTAAGAAATATGGTAATAATAATAATAATCTCAAAAGACTAGAAATTTAAAACAATGACATCATCCAGGAGATCTTTCTGACAAGTTAGATTATGCCATTGGATTATCATGCCATTATTTACTGCTCAAGTCTAGTTGCATTGGCTTTTAATTCTTGTAGGTACCTTACTGTGGGTGCTTTATATGTCGCATGAGCTATATCAGGAGTGTCAAACTCAATTTCATTGAGGGCCGCATCAAGGCTGTGGTTGACCTCGGGGCCAGGTGGGCATGGCCCGCTTGATGCCACTCCCCAAACTGCTGGCATGTTTCCTCTATGCACTGGGTAGACCGGGCCAAAGCTACGCTGGCCCGATCTTTCTTCTTTGCACTGGATAGACGAGGACCTTTGAGTTTGACATCCCTGAGCTATATAACTGCATTTTGTCTGCACAAGCCTGACAGCTTTAAAAAAAAAAACCCTGAAGCTTCTCTTAAGTTCCTTAAAACACCCCCAGGGAATCACAATCCGCATATCACAGTATATAAATGTGTGGGATAAGTAAGCCAACAGATCTCAGAGGTTCCAGGATCCGCTGGAGACACCTTCTAATAATTGTTACCTTGGCATAGGCAAGAGCTAGCTGCTGAAAAACAGCATCATCAGGGGATTTACTGTATGTGGCGACTCCTAGCCGCCCGTCATCATAGGGGTAGTTAACCACCAGAGATCCTGCGAGAAAGACAAAAAGAAAATAGCTTTCAGGATTTTATTAGTCTGAGTAAATTAATCATAGTATAAAAGCCAGTTGTTCCACCACCACAGTGAAGAATAACACTATTTGCTTAGATTTCGCAAGTAGTCACAACACTAATCCAGGCAAACAAAGACAACAATGAGTAAAAATCCACCTAGGGGAATTCATCAAGAGGTGGCAAGATAGCACCTGCTTGTTACTTGTTCTTAAAAATCAAGAGTCAGTACAGAGGAAATGTACTCAGTAAATTCCCCCCACAGTATATAAAAAAAGGTGAAACTGGTCCTTTCAGAAGAGCTACACAAATAAAACCCACGGTTGTGCATACTTTAAAAATGACTCTGAAATTCTTTGGACCTCACGAAAGCACACCACCTATGGGGTTACTTAAAAAAACAGGCATGTTTTCCCCCCCCCCAGGTTTCCAGAAATCTGGAAAAAAAGACAAATCTGTTTCAATAAATTTAATACAATGAGTTTAATTACATTTTAAGCGGGCCAGAGTCCCTTTGGACAGCGAGATGGGTGGCGTATGAATTTAAGAAACAAATTATAAATCAATCAATCAAGTAATTCATGCAGCTTTCTTTTCAATGCAATTTTAATCATTTTCAAAGTAACCCTAATAAGAGCACATGTGCTGAATTTGAACACTTTTTTTATGATTAGTACAGGCTCTCCTTGGGATGATCTTGGCCAGCAATCCTAACTTGTAAGCTCTTATCAGATAAAATTATGTAGTGAAACCTCTTTTCCATCCATTGGTAAGTTTTCCTGCAGTGAGGCCTGAGGCTTACTGAGTCTAGAATTAAAAAATGCTGTACGTTTCCACACAAGCCAGTCTGCATTCCTCTTTACCTCCATGCAAATTTGCCGATAGCACAAAAGGGTAGGTCTTCAGCCAGTTCATCACAGCTATGGTCTCTGGCTGCAGGGGTTCGGTGATTTGGACGAACTGATCTGGAAAGTTCCGATTCAAATCGTAGTTGTTGCTGTTGTTTCTTCCGAAAATTCCCGATACGTCTCCTAAGAAACAGAAGAGAGCCTGGTTGAACCATCTGTGCTTTATAGCAATTATCACTATCTATCCTTCCTGCACACAGAATTTCACAGATTAACAGGGTTGAAAGGGACCTTATAGGTCATTCTAGTCCACCCACCCCCACCCCGCAAGCAGGAGACCCTACACCATTTCTTCAATTTGCACTCCTCAGTTAAGTGAGCAAAGCAAGGGACATTGTTTTTTT